TAAAGGGGAGGCCGCGCGCCCCCCGCACCTGCTGTCCCGGGCATGCGCCTTTGACCTCAGAGCCTGGCCTTCCCCTCTGCTCTCGCCTTCTTGGGTGCCAAGCCTGGTGGAGGTCCTCCGAGGCCTTCGCGGTGGGTCCCTCCTGAGAGCCCAGCCCGCCCCCTGCCCTGCCCACATCGTGCCTCAGGCTCAAACATCCCACGAGGAGTAACAGCCATGGCTTTGAGTGCTTATTGTGCCAGGCCCTGTGCTAAGAGCTTCGCATGCATTATTTCAGTGAATCCTCACGCCCATCCTCTAAGGCAGAGGTTATAATTATCCTCATTTCAAAGATAAAGAAATGGGAAGCTTATGGAGGTTCAATAATTTGCCAAGTGTCACAAAACCACTAAGTCATGCGCTTGAGATACGAACCCAGGCTACTTCTCCCAACTGATGACTTGCAAACCCTCCTCCTCCTCCCCCTCCTCCTCCTCTGTCCCAGGCCCTGTAAAGACATCTACCCAAGAACTCCTGAAGTCTAAGGTATAGCTGCACCTGTCCACCCCCCAATCTGACCTGCTTTTTTAGCATTGTCGGTTCCTAAGCTTTGCAGGGGAGCCCTGTGCTCTCAAGGTGAATTCTCTGGGGGAGGGGAGTCAGACCTTCTTGGAAGGCCTGGGGTCTAGGTAGGAGGTGGATCCCGGAGCTCCATCCAGTTTCACTTCCATCAGCAAGCACTGGCAGCTGTGTATGCCCTAATTCTGGACTTTTATATCCAGAATGTAGGCTAGCCCTAGCCCGCCTTCTGACTTTCACCAAAGCAACAAAGCGCCAACCTGCACAACTCCCCTTCTCCCCGCTGCTTTCCTTTCCCGGCCCATTTCAGAGCTTCTGCATTCATCTACCCTTGATGTGGAGGTGAAATCGGGGTGATCAGAGCATCAACCCGTGCCTGTCCAGGCTCAAAGGATATGCTCAGGGCTCTGTATTTGTTATGGCCCTATTCAAACTCGTTATCTTTGAACCACACAGCGATCTATTTCCACCCTGATAATTGTATTTCCAGGCTTAAACACTTTGGAAGTCGTTTTCCAACAGGCTTGAGAAGTGGCCTCTAATGACCCCTCTTGCTATTCTTTACAACTTCCTCTTTAAAAGGCCTTTTCTAATTAGAGACTAGTCTGTCCTAACTCTTCAAGCCGTTTTCACTGCTGCTTGATAAAAACAAATCCCTTTTGGGTCTTCTCCCGCCAACTCCCAGATGGATCTAGAGCAGCCGTGGGCAAACTACGGCCCGCTTGAAATGAATAAAACTAAAAAAAAAAAAAGACTGTACCCTTTTATGTAATGATATTTACTTTGAATTTATATTAGTTCACACAAACACTCCATCCATGCTTTTGTTCCGGCCCTCCGGTCCAGTTTAAGAACCCATTGTGGCCCTCGAGTCAAAAAGTTTGCCCACACCTGATCTAGAGCCACGTTTCCTATGTGGGCAGCCCGGCTTCCTGCTCTGAAGACCCCTCCCCTTCCCACTGATTGCCCAGAACCTTATCAGGTGGTCCCCATGAGCCTTCACTCCCCCCGCCCCCCACAAACTTCCCCAGGAAGGTAGGACCCCACCTTCCCCACTCCATTCCTCTAAATATAAATTACCCCTCCTCCCATCCTCTAACTGATGTGGCTCCCTTCCCTTCACCCTAAGCCCTCAAACCACAATGACCTGGCACTTCCCTCTCCCAATCAGGAACAAATTCCGAAGCAAAGGATAATAATTGGATGTAGTAATGTAATGAAGATCTGAAAACAAATCATCCTCCACTTCCAACCCCACCCTCCACCTGGCCTTGCTTTTTCTTTTTTTTTGGTATTTTTTATTGATTTCAGAGAGGAAGGGAGAGGGAGAGATAGAAACATCAATGATGAAAGAATCACAGATCAGCTGCCACCTGCATGCCCCCTACTGGGGATTGAGCCCGAAAACTCAAGCATGTGTCCTGACTGGGAGTCAAACCGTGACCTCCTGGTTCATAGGTTGATGCCCAACCACTGAGCCACACCAGCCGGGCTGGTCTTGGTTTTAGAATGGCTGGCACAAGAAGAATTTAGTCCACTCCAAATCGATTTGTTAGATTTTTAATAAGAACATGGAAATCCCAATCAGCCCTTCAACAAAATTAAAATACAGAAAGTGAAATTAAAGGTATTCTACAGTAAATGACTTTTATTTAAAAAAAAAACCAAACAAAAAAACTGTGAACATATAAACAAGCCTTCAGGGCACTACAGTACAGCCAGAAAGAAGATACATTTTCCAATGTACCCATGGGCCAATGAATTCCATTATTTTCAAATAAATTCTTAATAAAACTCCACTGAGTTTTGCTGAAAATATTTCTGGACAAAAAACCCAAAAAACAAAAAGCCTCATGTAGGAAAATCACTTTCCCTCGAATTTGGAACTGTTATGAGGAGTCCGTCCCAAGGGAGCGCTGGTAACAGATGGAAATGGTTCCTGGAGTCACCAGTGTGTGTATGTGTGGAACATACCACAGCTCAGACAGGACAATGTTCTCAGATGGCTGTTCCCTCAAGATAGGACTGAGATGGGAGGGGGAGAAACAAAAAGAATCCTAAAACGCCAATTCTTTTAAATTCTGCTTTGGCTGATTTTGTGCTATAATGGGCAGTTGATTTCTAAAAATCATATTTCTTCAAAGTGTTTTATCGAAAGGAAGACTAAATGTAATGTGCCTTTCCTCATAATCCAGGAAAAACTGTGGTATTTCAAAAATTCTAAAAATATCTACTTTCATGAAATAGTAACTATTTCACTACAAACCTATTTTTCACTAAATACACACGTTTCCTAATCCTGGAGCCTCCTGGGAAAAGCAGTGGGTCCTCCCTGGGTCCTGCAAGACTCCAGTGTTCACGGGAGAGATTGTGGGGAATGGCTTCACCCTGTCTCCTGGGATGGGCTGTGTCAGAGGTCACGTGCAGAGACACTGTCAGGCTTCCACCAGGCATGTTTAAGCAATTAGCCCCTACGTGTAACAGTTATGTGATTCCCCATACCTCCAAACATTCCCAATTAACTAGGCACGAGAGAAAAAAAAAAGAAAGGTGTGCCCACATTCCTGGTTTCCACAAATCCCAGATCATAAGACTTCAGGAAAGCCCAGCGATGTTCAGGCAATTCAGAGTCCCAAAAGACCACAGGATGGGAATGTGGCACCCTCGGCTTGGAGTCTGAAACTGTGTGTGAACAGTGCGACTTTCCTGTGTCAACAACCTTCAGTGTTGAGGCAGCGTAGAAAAGAGTGGCTGGAGAGTTTGTAATACTGACCACACTGGCTCCAAGTGAAGCACCTCTGCTCCAGCAGAGAACCCTGCCGTTCCCTGTGTGTGTGAGTGAAAGACCTGCTTCACAGGGGAGTTTGGAATTTCTCCACGCCTAAGACCTTGCCAGTTTGGATTCATGAGCCTTGAGGGTGCCAACAGCATCTTTCACTGCATGATAGATGATGTTCTTCACCTGGAGAGAGCAAACAGCAGTCAGAGCATGGCAGCCCATGTTGTCTTCTGCAAATGAAAACGTGTGCTCTAGGTTGCCTATAAGCCCACTGGTTAGTGAGGAAGCCCCTCAACCAGGACTGGGTGCTTCCCATACCCATCCTAAAGTCACATGGGACATAAGGTCTATATTCAAAAAGGAATGATGAAATCATATGAAAGGCTACATAATCACCACCATCTATATGCTTGCTATGTGCTGGGCACGACTGCTAAGTTCTTTATGTGGACTTTCATTTAATTCTTACTATAATCCCATGAGGTACATTTTATTGTTATCTCCCATTTACAGACGAGAAACTGAAGAAATCAAGGTTCCATGGTTAAGAACCTCGCCTAAGGTCCTGTAGTGAATAAGAATGCACTCAAACAAAGTGGGCAGGTAGGATTATTGGGTATTTTTTCCTTTTGTGCTTATATGTATTTTCTAATTTGTCTAAAATGAGGTAAGAAGAAAGAGTAAGAGTTACTGAAATAAAGTGAATAACCTAAAGATAGTTTTAAACCAAGATGGTGATTATTCTGAGGAAGGCAAGTGGTGAGATGGAATGGAGACTTCAACCATGTTTATGTTGTATATATGTATGCATATATATGTTTTATTTCTTAAGCTGTGTGATGGGCACACAAGCCCCCTTGTGCTACTCCCTACTAAATTTTTTGTATTAATTCAACAAATATTTACTGAGTACCTACTATACAACTAATATTGTGCTAGGGAAAAGCAGTGAGTAAAATGGTAAAAATCCCTGCCTTCATAGAGTTTAAA